GACGATACACAGTAACACTAAGTGGCATAGTACCGGTTAATAGGTCTATAGCACACCATCATAGGGATGGTGTGGCGGTATAAACTCAGCTTTTCCTTAGTCAAATGCTTGTTTGATATCAATATCTGACTCTGAAAATTCTGATAGCAAGGGTGACATGGTAGGAACATTTATTAGAAGAATAGATTTCACTTTGGTTAAACACCCCTGAAGACAATCGCAACTCCAAGATGTAATGTCTCCTTTTTGCCTATCTATTAAGGGATTTTGCTTTTTAAACAAGGGAAACCCCAAAACAACTGCAAAAGCTGAAGAAGAAATTAACTGTAATATTATAATTTCTTTATGTAAAACCGCTACCTTCATTTATCTGACTCTACTTAACTACTGCACACCCGGAATCCCTTCTCAGTACCTTTGAAAGCCGATATAGCTCCAGCTGCTGGATGTCCAACCAAGGGGAACTTGCGGCCTAGCTGCGACCTGGCTGTGTGGGAGCGGGGGAGGCGGCCGATCCCTCAACTCACATTACAGTCGGACCCACGGTGGACCACCCGGTTTCTTCCAAACCGCTCCCCCCCGCCGGTGAGGGTAATCCCGACACCTCCAGCTACTTACCATCATCTGAGACTAACCCAAGCACACCCTGCTTGAATCAAGGGGCCTAATAACAGCTCCCCAAAATGGTGACGGATCACAACTCCACAGGATATGTGCAGCCTAACAGTGATTTACTGGTATAATTTGACCGTGTATGTGCAGCCTTTTGGGAGCGGCTGCGGCGACGGCAAAGTACAGCCTTAAAGCCTTCAGATGCTGAACACGCAACAGAGACTAGCAACACTCTGACTTACCCTCCGCCGATGTTGACAAAACGGCCCATGGAGGTGAACGCCTCTGAGAGGTGACAGATCCCTCCCACTCACGCTGGGAAGGTGCATGTCAGGCGTGAGGACACTCGAAGAGCTCATCACGTAGGGGCTCGACGGCACAGATGACAGAAGCGTCCAGGTGGCGTGAAGCACCCTCCGCCTTACTATGACCCCCCAAAGGTGCAAATGAGGATCCTGGGACAAGTCTCTTTATCCATCACAACACCTCCACACAGCCCCTTCTGGCTGTCCCCCCAGAACACCTCGAGGCTGCATACATCATCCTCAGGAAGAGGCATTGTCTAAGTGCCCTGTATAACCCAGGGTCCCCCATCCAAGCAGCTTTTCTTGGGACTACCAACTCTAGCACTGTGACAATACAGTCTCTACTCTTTACTATGACCCGCAGGGATGTTTATTTTCTAATATTCAGTCTGTTTGTCTAGCCACACTCAATATACAATTTATCTTGTTTACTCACTACAGGACTGGATATAATACGAATTACTGTTAGTGACTGCTATCAGCCTTACTTTAAGTCTAGTTTTGTCTTTTCATCTTGCAACCTAACCATCTTGTAACTTATCAATCTACAGTACTATCGTGCTGTATAGTACTGATCATGCTGTCAGTCTAGCCTGATTTCTAGAATGTTTAGTTCCACTTACCTACTGACCTTCCCTTTTACTAGCCTGTTACCATGATACAAAAATGTGCAATTTCTATGTAAGCCATGATACTGTTTTGTATTTTCTGTTTTTTCTATGTTTGGTATCGCTGTTGTGGTGTATCCAGCTTATTTGTTATCTCTTCCACAATGAAAATAAAGAATGACAAAAAAAAAACTACCTTCAATTGTAAAAGTATGGTTTTGTGAGAGATCACAGGTATCTGAAGTGGTCGATCATCTGTGGCCTTATGGGCCAAGGGTTTAGGTCGTAACCATGAAGGAATGAAAGGTGTACTGACAAATGATAGATAAATAAAGTTCTCAGTTCAGATCTTAACTTATTTCCCAGATTTAGCCTGTGAGCTTTGATTTTTATCATGGAGGACATAGTAGAAACACCCAAGGCCAGGTCCTCCAGAGGAGCTCAGGTGCAAGAGTTTTTCAGACTTCTGGGACAAGTTAAGTGAAGGTGTCCCTTTTACCACAATATAGACCAACCCCTCTGTTCTCCAATTGTTTTCCACCTCAGTTAATTGTGTTACTCCCAATTGCATTGGTTCAGGAAGGGCCATTGAATCAGCAGGGTTAAACAATGGAGCTCATCTAATAGAAATAGAATAGTCAATAGTAGCCAAAAATCTAAACCAGATAGACAACAAGAGGCATATAACACGCTATTGGGATGCACAACAGGGCACAGACTTGAGCCATAGCAAACTTTTTATCCCTTTCCCTACCTCGGGCGTACCAGGTACTTCAGACAAAAAACTGTCAATCCCCCGCCGGCGATCGCGACTGGGGAACTTGCCTGCAGTCCCCTTGCAGGTGATCCGCCCCCCGGGCCATGTGATCGTGGGGTCCTCGCGATCATATGGCTGGAATAGCCAGCTAGTGCAGTTCCTGCAGGGGGCCTGCCTGAGCTCTCAGGCTACCCCCCTCATGCCTGCAAAAAAAATTGTTCAAAGTTCAAAAAGTTATAAAACAAAGTTGTAAATTAAACAAAAAAGTATTTTTATGTATTTATTGAGACCCCAGCAGTTCCCCTGCAGCAGCTCCGGCCCTTCATGGCCATGTGATCACCATGATTACATGGCCGCAATAGGAGTCTATGGAGCAGGGGGACTGTCTGAGCTAAAAAGTAAAAAAACATATTTTACATGTATTATATATGTATAATATATTATAAAATAATTAAAGCATGTTATAATATATTATACATATATAATGCATATATATGATTTCATTATAAGTGAACTTTGAAATATATACACATATATCTCAAAATAGACCTATAATGAAATCATGTATATGCATTCTATATGTATAATATATTATAAAATGCTTTAATTATTTTATAATATATAATTAAATATGAAATAAAAGTGTGTATATATATATATATATACATATATATATATGTACACACACACACACACATACGTATTATATGTATGTGTGAGTGTGTGTGTGTGTGTATATATATATATATATATATAGTAAATATATATATATATATATATACACACACCCCCACGTATGAGTGTTTAAAACAGTAAAATGTATCACGACGATGAAATCACCAGTAAAAGTGCAGTTTATGTGTAAAAAAAATGCAAGAAACAAAAATGAACTCTAACTTTGGCAAGTGTTGTAGCTAAGTGGCTACTACAAAAGACTGGACCCCATTTTGAATACCCTGGGTTGTCTACCTTTTCAAATAGTATGTCATGGTGGGGTTAATTTTCATTTCTGGGCTGCCATACCGTCTCAAAGGCAACATAGCCAATCTGGCAAATAGCAATTTAATAAAACAGAAATTGGCAAATCTTATGTTTGACCCTGTAACTTTACAAATCACCATAAAACCTGTACTTCAGGGGTACTGTTGTACTCCTGAGACATTATTCTACATAAGTTTTAGAGCAGTAGAATGTCAATGTATAATACTGATATCATCGGTAAAATTGCAGTTTATGCGTGAAAAATGAAAAAATATAAATGCTAATTTTGGCCAGGGTTTGTAACTTAGTGGCTACTAAAAAGACTGAATATACCCTATTTTGAATACCGTGAGTTGTCTACTTTTACAAATGGTATGCCATGATGGGGTTAATTTTTATTCCTGGGCTGCAATACGATCTCAAAGGCAAGATAGGCCCAGCAAACCAATCATGGCATGTGCAAACATGGAAAAGGGGTAAGCCCTACATTTGACCTCTGTTTTGTCAAAAAAAATATAAAAACTGTACATGGATGTTGCTGAACACATATTGGGGTGTTCTTTGTCAGTAACACATAACAGGAACTGAGAATCCATGCTTAAAGTACAATGTGAGAGAAAAATAACACAAAAAAAGGACTACCCAAAATACCACCATTTGAAATACCCTAGGTTTGATGGGGTAAATTACATTGGCTGGCTTCAGAAATGTCCCAAATAGGACATGGGTGCATGATGACCAGCTGTGAAAATTCCAAATTGGAAAACTGGAATGCACACCCTCCAAATAAGGTATTTTAGCCCCTAGAGAACCCGACACACGTATACTTGGGTGGTATCACTGTACTCAGGAGATCGGCTAAACACATATCGGGGTGTTCTTTGGCAGTAACTCTTAAAGTCCCCAATACATGTATTCTTAAATTGCCATGTGTGTCAAAACAAAATCACCAATTATTATATATTTTTTAAATTTGGCATAGATTGGTGGTAAAATGGTTGCATGAAAAGAGTCACAACACCCCAAGTTTAATACCTTAGGTTGTCTTCTTTTGAAAAATATATACATGTGAAGGGTTATTCACAGGGCCGGCATTTCCTATAAGGCGAACTAGGCAGCCGCTTAGGGCACCACATAGGAGGGGGCACCCTGCGCCCCCATCGCCGGCCCTTTTAATGCTGCAGCCGCCTGAGCGCTCTACAGAGACCCTCAGGCGGCTGCAGCACTGCCTCTCACCTCCCCTTCCTGTGTAGCGTGGCCGAGCTCCTCTCCGGTCCGTGGTACAGGTACATCCGTTTCTTGTACCCGGCCGGACTGATAGGAAGTGCACATTCAGTTCTCAAGCAGCCTGCAGGTCTTCCCCAAGCTTTGTTCCTGCTTGCAATATATAAGGTAACCTGACAAATAGTTAGAGACCTCTATGGAATGGCTTTTAAATTAAATGGTTGCAGCCATTCCAATATCACATACATTTAGTAAGGTCTAGTTCAAAACCTTAAGTACATATAATGTATCACAAAAAAAGTACATCACTTTGTTCAAAGAGTATTTTTCAAGTTTAGCATTTAGGATGTTTTCTCATGGCCATATCTCAACGATGTGTCTGAATATCTGGAAGGTACACCAGGATATCATCTAGATATAGTGATATCCCGAACTGTTCGCCGAACTGTTCGCCACGAACGGTTCGCCGCGGACTCATCATTGAGTAAACTTTGACCCTGTACCTCACAGTCAGCAGACACATTCCAGCCAATCAGCAGCAGACCCTCCCTCCCAGACCCTCCCACCTCCTGGACAGTTTACAAAGAATGCAGCTTCACAATGAATGTAAAATGGATGCTGTCCAGGAGGTGGGAGGGTCTGGGAGGGAGGGTCTGCTGCTGATTGGCTGGAATGTGTCTGCTGACTATGACAGCTCACTAAAAATGCAGCTTCACAATGGATGCTGTCCAGGAGGTGGGAGGGTCTGGGAGGGAGGGTCTGCTGCTGATTGGCTGGAATGTGTCTGCTGACTGTGAGGTACAGGGTCAAAGTTTACTCAATGATGAGTCTGTGGCGAACCGTTCGTGGCGAACCGTTCGCGAACCATTTGGCGAACAGTTCGGGACATCGCTATCTACATATACCATCACAAACTTGTGGAGATATTCACAAAACATATCACTGATGAATTCCTGGAACACCGAGTGGGTATTACATAAATCAAAAGGCATCACAAGATATTTGAAATGCACAGAATGGGTATTAAAGGCAAATTTCCATTTGTGTCATTCTTTTATTTGGACTGTTATATGCCCAATGTGGGACCAGTTTCATGAACCCTTCACTCAATTAAATAATTCTGGAGTAAATCAAGTGTACCGGATTGTGATTCTATTAAGATCTCTGTAGTGCACATATAAAAATCCAGCTCCCGATGGGGAAGTGGATCTTCTCATAAAACCTTTTTTTTCAAGTTCTCCTCAATATACTCCTCCGTAGCTGCAGTTTAAGCAATGGACCAAGGGTAAACTCTACCTCGACGTGGCATGGTACCAAGTAATAAGTCTATAGGGCAGTCATAGGGCTTGTGGGTAGGTAGTTTGTCAGATTCCTTTTTTGTCAAAAACATAAGAGTGTGCCCTATCGGTTTCAGGAATAGATGAAGATCTTTCGTGGCTAAGTCATCCTGCAATAGGGTCTCTAACTGGAGATGTAAAACAGGGATAGAAGGATATATTTCCAGACCTTAGAGTCTTCACTTAACAGAGAGCATATCGATGCAAAGTGTAATTTAACTAGGGAAGCTGCAATACAGACTGAGGTCAAGGCACCAGAAGACAGTGAGGTCAAACTTGCCAAAATCAGCAAAGAAGTATTGTCATAGAGTAAGTTGGGTATGTAACAGAAGCTTCCCCACCTTTAAATGACTGCTCTATGGAATTGCTCTCCCATGTTAACTCTTATGGAGGAGCTTGGAGGTACAGCCTCCTTCCTAGAGACCATGGACCCTCTGTTATGGGTTCCTTGTAAACATGGTGATCCATTCATACATTTGTATTATGATTAATCTTCTTAGTGTGATTGGTTGCTTTCACTCTCTTACTGTTTTTGATTGACTTGTGTTCATTGTACAAACAAATGCATGTACAAAGGCTCTGTGTGTGTCTCAATGAAGCAGTAAAGTTCCCCACTTTACCAAGTGCTTGGCTTATATTTGTGGAGAGATCGAAGGAGTTTCTGCTGAATCCCTCTTTCTTTATCTCTCTGGAAGACCCTTGGTACTACTAACTGGGTAGTGCTGGAAGGCACTTATATATTGCCACTTAGCAGAATGCAGAGTTGGACTGGGTCTCAAGCCAGTCGTTCTGTATCCACTGCAGAGTAAAATCAGAAACTGGGAGCCACAATGTCACAAGCACTAAGAGCCAAGTAAGGACCATGAACTGGCAAAGCAGAAACGGGGGCATGCGTCTTAAATAGGCCGATACCTCGCTCATAGAATTACACCAGAAGGCAGCATCCCGACAAGCCATCACAAACATCAAATAAAGGATGCAAACTCTCAGCAATCTCAGTCATACATGCTGACAGAATGAAGACACCGCCAGATATGTGGCATTCCTGACAAATGGCCATCACATAAAACAAAATTGCAACAAAAGAGTATATATATTATATTTTTGTTTTGTTTTTGTTAACATACATATATATAACAAGGTTATTTTTAAACCTCCTAGCTGTCAGCCAATGCACATGTCTCCCAACTGTCCCTGTTTAGGAGGGACATTTCCTATTTTCAACACAAATCCCTCTATCCTAGCATCCCTCTTTTCTGCGAGCTCCATATTGTTCATGTGTGTGACTGTATAACAGAGCTACACAGCAATAATACAGTAATTTGTCTTTAAATTACAATTAATGTGTTTACATTCTCTGTAAATTAGATACATTGTACATGCTCTAAATTACTTTTTTTGAGTTGCATAAATTGTTATTGGTAGGTTACTTAAAATTTCTCAGAACAGCCTCGCCTCCCACTCCACACTCACACCCTTATAATTGAAGTGTCCCTTTGTTCATTTGAAATGTTGCGATATAGGGCTGCCTCACTTTTTGACTCTCCCAGCACTGGAAAAAAGGTATATTCAAAGGATTAGTTCAAGCACCATGACCACTTCACTGATTTAAATTGGTCACGGTGCTTGGAGTCTGTACAGTGTTTGGAGTCTGTATGTGCAGCATTTCACACTGCACATACAAAGTTTAACCCCTCTGCTGCCACAGGTGTAACACCACCTCTTGCAGCGTCATTGGTGCATAAATGGCCAGCCCAGAACAATAGTTAATGGCAGTTTTGTGCATATTCGGCATCTATCATTAGAATGCTGGTGACAGACAGCCAATGGCCACATGCCGCCCCTCCTCTGTGCTGCCCATGTCCTCCCCTCTGCCTGCTCTCTCTGTCATCCATTCCTCTCAAGGAAGAGTGACATCAGCAGAGGAGAATCGGGCTAAGGGAGAACTTGGTTTCAGTTGCTGTAACGGAGGTGAGTTAGCTTTTCTATCCTTTTCCTTTTATTTCATCTTTGGGGGGAAGACCAAGATAGGAAGGGTTATTCTGACAAAAAGTAGTATTGCCTTAAAACACTGTTTTTCAGTTGGAGTAACCCTTTTAAATGATTTTACAGCAAGCTTTAATGGTTATGTTGCTTAGAATTTATCTTGATCTGGTACTTTTTCTGCCTAAGATACAATTTGTATGGGCAAGCAGAAACACAAAGTGGTCAGTGTGATTAAAGCCTACAAATATGGTGGATACGAGTGGGTGCATGCAGCACAGAATAATCCCACAGGAAGTGTGTCTTTTAATAAACGTGTTTGCAATTTTACAAGCACAACACGTAGTTTAAATCTATAACTAAATATGAGGGGTTTTTTGCAGTTGAAAGCTTCACTTTAAAGCCTAATTTCTGATAGGAACATTGAAATTAACTTAAAAAATAAAGGTAAATGAAATTATATGCATCAGTTGTACAAGTGTAGAAAATTGGATTATAAAGCCTTTAACAGATAAAATGCATGTCTTTATGAAAAAGGTGTATTGAATAGTTGAGGAATAACAATGAGACAGAAATTATAGGTGTCAAGACTGAACTGCCACCTGGTGGAACTTTGTGGTATTAGGTTAAATAAAGTCACAGTGATCTGTAACTCATGGAAGCACTGCCTTTCCTATGTGTTTGTTTAGGTGGCCCTGCTATGTGACACAGAATCATTTTTGAAAGTAAATTAGAGTGTTAATGCTAGATGTGCCGTCTCGTGTTTTCACTAGCTTACTCACAGTACAAGCTTGGATTTTTCTGCTGGACCTTTGATCAGACAACATAACATTATACATAATTGCTAGGATTGCTAGCATTGCTCCACAGTTTCATAACAAACTTTTTCAGTCAGATTCATATATGCCTTTTTATATACCTCCTTATTCAATTAACTTTAATATATATATATATATTTATTAAGCTTAGATTATAATGAGGCCAAATTCAAACTGGTTAATGTTGCGGCATAGACGGTGAAAGTCCTTGGAAGGTCACGCTAGTTCAGTAGTTACGTTGTGTCGCTCAGAAGGTATATGAAACATTTTCACATATTAACTAAACTTCTTGCTCTCTTAGTTTTACAAATCAGTGAAAAATGTGTTTACATCAAGTGTTGTTTATTCATCTGTAAACATTCAAAATTTGTATTTTTAGTGTACTCTGTAGTTTTGTACATTAAACTATGCTATAAGTTATGTTTCTTTTTCATGTGTCCTTGACGTCCTTGACATTCACATATTTTTGTATGCAAAACAAAATCACAAGCGTTGTGCAGTACTGTGTATCTTAAAGTAGCAGATAGCTAAACTAGTAAGTAGAGAACTGTTATAAGGAATGCATCGCTTTAGTGATGGTGACCCTTGGAAAGCTATGAGTTGCTACCAGTTGGTATTGTGCTACTTCATGGGCTGGTGGTAGAAAACCAAAATGACTTATTTTGCTTCAGTTCTGCTTCTCAAGCAACGCAAGGGAGTGAGACATATTTTCTTTATCTTGGGGCAGAGACAGCTTTCAATGCTCCTTTACAGTCTGAATATGTTGCTGATACATACATAATATGTATAATATTTATATAGAAACATAGGGCTGACCTTTCCTCAATCTTATGCCTGCACTAGATAAAACAGATATGGTTGTCTACTAGGATGGGGCCCCATAAACATAAACCTCCATACGTGCAAAATAGAATGGTTGACAAAAGCATCATTTACTTATTATGGTAGATAAGCAAGAGCAATAGGAGGGGTGATATGGAAGAAAAGTTGGGATAACTTTGTAAGTGTCTGGGATGAGCAGCAGAAAATACCAAGACAGACCATAGGAGACAGATTTGAGGTAAAATTGAAAGCATGAGTACTCGGAGAAGAAAGCAGGTTTGACAATTGAAAATATTGAGAACGCATAAAAAGGTGATAAACTGCAACGAAGAAGAGCAAGAGTATATGGAAGAAGGTTTTGGAAAGGCAACAAACAAGAGATTTAGAAAGAATAAATAAAAGGTGTAAAGCATGGATGCATTGATGGGTGGACATATGGAGAAGATGGGGAAAGAAAATGGAGATGGGGAGATAAATGGAAAAAGAAATGAAATCATGAAGAGCTGTGTAAAAGTTGAAAAATGGAAGAAGTGGGGTGTAAAAGAAGAGAAATGGAGAGTGTTGTGGAGAAAAGGGATTGAGAGCGTGGACAGGTGAGGAGAGCATTAGAGAACAGGGGCAGATGTCATTAAAATAAAATAAAGAAAAAATATACAAAACTGAGAGATCAGTGTCTGTGGATAAGGGATACATTAAGATGAAATTACTGATTTTAAGAGAC